TCCTCAAGTTGGCTTTCTGTAGAGTGCCCTTTCTTTACATGATATGACTTAACATTAAGTGTGGCAGCATCCTAGTTCACTGTCTTCAAGGCATTTTGTTCTATATAAGCTAATAACCTTTCCCTCTTTCCTCTTATTTCCTTATTTGACTTTATTTTCCTTTCAGCTCTTTTGTCATTAGTAAAGGATAAATCTGTATCTATCTTTTGCTTATTTCATTGTTTCCTTAATAGGATGGTTGATCTTATCTAAGTTTTTTCTATTTCTGTATCTTAATGCCTTGAATATGCCTTGTACATTATAGATGCTTAGTAGATACTTGCTAATGAAACTAAAGTGTTTTATTTGCCACTATAATCAGTTTTATGTTACAAATTACAATACTGTAAATGTTGTTTATTCTCAAACAGTGTCAGGAGATTGGTCTCCAATGTGGCAGAATTAGGAGGTGATAGATCCCTGAGAGGCTAAATACAAGAAAATTAGGTCATTGAAGATGGAGTCTCAGAGGGGATTAAGGTAGTTCTTAACCCTAGTTAGTTCTAGTGAGTGAGTGAGCAAGTATGCATACTTGCTAAGAGAAAGAGACAGAGATGTTATAAAAAGCAACAGTCCCCTCCCTACCCAGTGTTTTCTGGTCTTGTCATATTATCTCTTTATCAAGCAGTCTTATTATTTGTATGCTCTTTACCACGAGGTCTGGACCAGGATTGGCCAGAAACTGGTACAACCTTGTGATATCCTCCCTTTGCTCATTAATATACACAGGCTCGTTTCGTTTCAGCAAAAGAAAGCAGACCTATGCTGAAAGGGACTGTGTCTTTAGCAGTAACTCCATTTCCTTTTTCCTTTTATGTATCAAATACTCTTCATACATTGAGCAAGTAACTACAGTATGGTGTACTGTAAAGAGGAATGAGATGTTTTCTGCCCTTCACTGATCCATAGTGTAAAGAGAGGAGTTTGACACCGCTTTGAAATGGAAATGAAACAGTTTCAATTCATTGTGTTAAAGGTATTATGTATACAAAAGGTTGTATGGAAATATAAAGGAAGAGACATATTAGGCCAGATATGTAATGAATGGCTACAACAAGGAAGCATAAAAATACAAGCTTCAAAGAAATTAACTTTCCCCAGGAGCACACAAGCGATGAATGGGTGGGTAGATTTGTTCACGGTTCCCATCCAGGGTCACAGGTTTCTTTCATTGGGTTACTCCATCATCCCTTATGGCAGGGGTTGGCAAATGTTTCTTATAAAGGGACATACCATAAGCCCTTTAGGTTTTATTGACTATATATTTTAACAATATGAAAACTAACTATATATTTTATCAATATGTGAACCACCATAAATAATATAGAAAGAATGTGCATGTGTTTCAATAAAATTTTATTTAGTGGAAAGCCATTTAGGTCAATAAAATAATATCTTAAGTACTTTTCTATTGCTGTGAAAAATTCCACCAACTAGGGACCAAGGACTCAAATATATGAGCCCCTGGGAGCATTCTGTTTTAATTCAACACAGGTAATATTCTGCCAACCCCAGTATCAGAGATTTTGGAATTTATGTTTGAGTATTTATTATCTATTGCACTAGAAAGCATTAATTCTAATTTATTTTTAAACTAAGCTTTAAAAATTAGTCTGGACAGGAGTTCTGTTTCTCTTGTGGCAACTCATTGGAATGAAATGTCAGTATAAATAGCTACTTAAAACCACTAGCATATAGAGTAAAGTTCATAAATTTAAATTCTTTTACTTTCTGGTTTTTTGAGTTAAGGTTTCTCTATGTAACAATGCTGGCTGTTCTGGAACTCTCTCTGTAGACCAGGCTGACCTCAGACTCACAGAGATCCACCTGCCTCTGCCTCCCAAGTGCTGGAATTAAAGACGTGCAACACCATTCCTTGGCAAAGATTTGAATTCTTAATTTCTTATTTTATAGGAAAATAAAGAAGTTCTGTTCTTCTTTGGGCAATATTTTAATATCTAGTAGTCTGTGTCTAACAGCTTATTCCAAAACAAATACTAAACTTGATCAGATAATAGAAGCACTTTGGTAATAAGTGCAGTTTTATAGATCCTATTAGGAAATTTAAAAAAATCTCTGGGTAAGTTGGTTAACTTTGCTGTCCTTTAGTTCATTCATGAATAAAGTTTAAAACAGTAAGAACTACACCACAAAGACTTGAGAGGACTTAATGAATGTTCATCTTGTACTTTTGAACTATGGGTGATGGACTTTAACTTGTACAGAGTACTATTTTCTTAGAAATAACTTTTTTGTGGTTCTTGAAAAGTTACTTAGAGCTCATGTGGCAACAGTATATTTTTATCATAATGATTATAAGCCATCTCACTAATTAAATATTTTGATGCTTATTTAATATTGGCACATGGAAGAGCTTCCTTTTAGGTCTCTCAAGTTATTTAATGAATTTGGAAGCATAAAGGCAGATTTCCATTGTTTTTCTGCTTTTCTTTCCTTGAGATTTTTCATTCCCGAGCCTTTATTTGAATATTTCTTGAGACATTATAGGAATGTATGGATGGTATCTATATTCTTTATCTGCTTCCCTTTCTTTCTAACAGCTACAGTGGCTGCTGTTGCATTTCAGTTAGTTTAACCCTTGATATTGATGATCAGCTACTTAGGTGTTTAAAAGGTCATTGCTCACGCTTAATTTTCCCTTCTGACCATTTTTATGGTAGCTCTTACAGAATTCATGCTAGTCTTTAAAAAAAAATGTCTGTTAGGCTAAACACTGAACTCCTGGAACCTAGTTACAGAGATGGAGGAGTGATGAGCAAAGGGGTCAAGACCATGATGATGAAGCCCACGAAGACAGCTGACCGGATAAGGGGGAGCTCTTGAATCCCAGACCGATGGCTGAGAGGCCAACAGGGGACTGATCCAGACTCCATGAATGTAGTGCCAAGGAGGAGGGCTCAGAAATCAATGGGGCCTTGGGTAGTAGATCAGTGTTCACCATGGTTTATGAGTGAGCTTTGGGAGCCCATTCCAAATAGAGGGATGCTCTCTCAGCCTGGACACATGGGGAAGGGCCTAGGTCCTGCCCAGGATGAAATGACAGACTTTAGAGATTGCCCCCCAAGGAGGGCCTCACTCTCTCTGGGGAATGATGTGGGGATTGGGTGGGGGGCTCGGGGGGGGCTGGTGGAGGCACAAGGGAGGAGGGGTGGGAGAGGGATCTGGGACTGACATGTGAAACATTCACGTTTCTAATTTAAATAAAAACATATATTGAGGAAAAAAAGAAAAAAGACTCATCATGAAAAGCATTTGAGCCCAAGACTTTCTATGAGGGTAAGGAAGGTTTTGTGTTTTGTACCTTTCCTTTCACCCTCTTTCTCCATTTGTCTTTTTTTTTTAACCTTACTTATATATTATTGGAGAATATCTCCAGTAGATAGAATCTATATTTTACTGATACATACAGTAGTGAATAAGTGAATACAGTGGTAATGGAAAATATCTCTGTTCATTTGTATACATAGTATCTACAAAATATAATAAAAGTATAGTGGTGTCAAAAAATGCCTGTTAGAAGCATTTATGTCCAAGTGGAAACTTCAGATATTTAATGAATTAAATGATTTTCATGTGTTACTTTTCATACTTTAATTTCATAATTCATTAAGTTACCAAATTGTCTTCCTTCCCTTCCCTTCCCTTCCCTTCCCTTCCCTTCCCTTCCCTTCCCTTCCCTTCCCTTCCCTTCCCTTCCCTTCCCTTCCTTTCCTTTCCTTTCCTGCTGCTGTTTCTTCTTCTTTTTCTTCTGTAAATTTTAAAGGGATAGAGAATCATGATGTGCATGTGAACATACCTCACTACAAAGGATGCTGAGAGCATAGGTTAGCTACTCTCCAATTACTGTGAGAGAACAGCTTTTTGCTTGCTTGTTCCAGACATAGTCTCAATATGTAGCACTGGCTGTCCTGGAAATTGCTTTGTAGGCCAGGCTGTCAGTGAATTTACAGAGACATTTACTTCTCTCTGCTTGGATGCTGGGATTAAAGAGATGTGTCTCTATGGCTGGCCAGATACAGCTTTTGATGGACAGATCTTTGTGTCTATCAGAGCACTCTCCATCCTCCCTCCCTCCCTCCCTCCCTCCCTCCCTCCCTCCCTCCCTCCCACCTTCCTTCTGATAGGATATTCTGTGCACCTCAGGGTGACTTTGAACTCACTAAGTAACACAGGCTGGTTCCAGGGGACCCACCCCCCTCTTCCATCTTGGAGGTGTTGCACCAACATGTTGTACAGAAGCATATGCAGACAAGACACCCATACACATAAAATAATAATGTAAAAACAAACTTATATTTCTTAAAATGGCTAGCCTGATCTACAGAGCTATTTCCAGGACATCAAGGGCTACACACAGAAACCCTGTCTCAAAAAACTAAAAAAAAATTATAAGTTTTCTCTCTTGCGGGCATTTAGACTTGTAGAGCTGAGGGAATTACATTTCCAGTTTGAAGTCTTACTTAGGGATCTGTGTCCTGCCACTCCGGACAATTGTTCTGTGGCTTTTCTTTGAAAGCACATACTGACTGCTTAGCTCCTGCTTACATACTGAGAAAGCATAGGGTTGTCATAGATAGGAAGGAAGAAGAAAGGAAGGTGGAGAAAAGGGATAGAGATGAGGTGAAGGACAGACGTGATCTGGGTTTTGGCAGTGTGTCGTGAACATTTGATCGCGTTGCTGGTAACAGCTTGGCTTACAATTAAGTTGATTTTATCAATTACTTCATATTTCCAGATGAAAAATTGTAAAAAACAATGTGCTTTCGGGATTCTTTATTTGCATTCAGCCTATTTTGCCCTTTTTATGAAACTGAAACGCAGATTTTCCTTGTCAGCATTATGCTTTTGAAGAATTTTCTTTTTCGTAGAAAAAAACCCCCAAAAACCCAAAACGTACTTGAGTGTGGCGTTCTTTTACTGAGTGTCCATTGAATTTAAAGGTACAAGGAAATGATGCACTCCCTGAAGAGCATCATGATGGTGGTGGTAGAGTCGATGATGAACAAGTCTGAAGAGGATGAGACGAGGAGTCAGGACCAGCAGCGGAAACTGCAGAAGGAGAAGCCAGGCAGCTGCTGCACAGACAATTGCTCCGACAGCGACTCCTCCTTCAATCAGGTGCGCGCCTCTTCTCCCAGTCCTAAACCTGATCATCACTAGCTTAAGTCGGTGCTTTCTCAAACACTTTTTTCTGTTTTCCAGTTTAAAGATTCAGAAAAAATAAGACAATAAAATGCTCTATTAGGATGATTTGGTCCATGAGGTACTAGTTTACAGAATTGTTTGTTTAATGAATAAATATATCTCAGGTAATACTTAAGTGAAATATTATGTTTTCAATTAAAATAATGATGGTGATGATTGTTGAAACAGTTCATTGTGAATTTTTACCAAAGTTTAGCTAACCTATAGCTGAGTTGTAGATAAAATATATATCAGTTTCAAACAATAAAAGTTTTCCAATGTAAAACCATTTGAGGTTAGTTAGTCTGGTGTAGCCCTGCGTGACTGAAGCAGGGGATCATGAGTTTGCGGCCACCTGCCTTACATATTAAGACCCTGTCCTAGGAGGGTCTTGATATGTAAAACAAACAAACAAACAGCTAAAAAGTTCGAGGCTGTGAGGGTTAGTTTTAACTGTCTACTTAACACAACCCCAAGTCACCTGTGGTTGTCTAAATGAGTTTGGCTTGTGGGTATGTCTCTGGAGAATTGTCTTGGATGCTAATGTTAGTTGATACCAGAATATCCATCCCACTGGGTGTGGTCCCTACCATTCTGCACACAGAGGATCCTGTATTGTATGAGTGCAGAGAAAGCACAGATCTGAACACAGGCAAACATGCATACTTAGTCCTTTCTGCCCTCGACTGTGTGTGTGTGTGTGTGTGTGTGTGTGTGTGTGTGTGTGTGTGATGTGACTACCTGCACAGCGTCCTGCTTCTGTGGCTTCCCGTCCATGATGGGCTGTAACCTGTGATTGTAAGTTTGAAGTACTTTCCCCTCTTTCTTTATTTCTGGATATTTTGTCCTATCAATGGAAAGTGGGACAGAGGTCTTCAGTTTCCTCTAACCAGGATTGAAGTAGGAATACTTGTCATTTGACTACAGTAGAATTGGAAAAAGATAGGCTTAAGGCAGATTAGTCTGAATAGAAGACAAGGAAACCAGCTAGCTATGTGCCAGGAGCACATGACACGCTTCGAGGCTAAACTCTGTAATGATTTTGTTTTTGAGATTTGCAGAACGGAAAAGCAAGTCTAGGCCTTTAGGGTCAGCTGCGCATCATTTGCCATAAGCCTCCCACTGTGAGAAGGCTCCTGCCGCTCTGCAGTGGATAGAGACTGCTTCCCTACGTGTCTCAGGGCCTGAGCTTGATCTCTAGTGCTGCATGTAAATAAAGGGCATAATTAGAACGTTTATCATAATTGTTTCAAAATTGATTCCAGTAGTTTGGATAAAACATCAGAATAGATGCACAGTGGCCGCCGTTAGTACTGCACCATTGAACAGAGAGGGACTGGAAGTAGTCTAAGCCGACTTGCAGGTGCTATGCTCAGTTGCCTTTGTGTCACTGATCAGGGAGATTGTGTCGAGCTGTGAAGTTTACAAGCCAGTCTGATGATGCGATGTGACAAAGGATGTGATGGAGATGGGGGGTTTTCCACCTTATAGCCTGTGATAATTTCTTGTTGATGAGCTCTTGGGAAGAAGATGACGTAACTGCATTCTGGGGTTGGCTTAATTGCTTGACCAACCTTCTTCAGAAATTAAAAGACAGAAACCTTTATTTTAGGACTCAGGAGCTCACTATTGAATGATATTACTTGGTTAGCGAACCCTTTTAATACACTGAAACACAAGAGAAGAAAAAAAATGAATCATTGTTAATACATCTCCAAAATGAAAGTATTAAGGTATAACTAAGCTTAATCGAGTAGCAAGGAGTTCATCAGTTGCTATACCCAAATGCTGTTATTTCTAGTGACTAGAATAATAAGTCTTTCAGGTTTTGACAGAACGAGTCATAATTTAAAATATCCTTGGTTCTTAATTTTGTTTTGTTTGGATTCTTCAGAAGAAACCATGCCTTCAGATCTGTGGCTTCCTTTGGGATGCCCACAGGCAATACTTGAACCTTCTAGTATCTACCCTATGAGTATGACTGTTTCAGAAGAGACGAATTGTGTTGAAAGTGAACTATGTCTATAAGGACACTGTGGGATGTCTGAACTTTCTGAAACAAATATATGAATGTTAGAACACCCCAGCTCACTCTTTCAGAGTTGTGAGCTCGGAGAGGTGTGTGGCTATGCCTTTGCTTAGCAAAGAGTTACTTGAAGAGGTAGCTGGTCAAGGTATGACTGAATTACTCTGAAAAGGTCCTGACCCTAATCTTCCCCAATGACCAGCTGCAGTGACTTTCATGACTCTGAGGTTGATGACCAATGGGATGATCTCCAGGTAGCTCACTCCTCTAGTCTATCCAATACATATATGCTAGGGACTCCATGTTGACAAACCAATCAGCGACAAGGATAGGCCAAGGAAATGATGGTCTTTGCTACTGACACTTGCACAACTGAGAAGTATCTCTTTCTTAGGGACTAGGGTGAGAGGTTCATCATTTGACCACACACCTCTGTCTGTGAGAAGTTATTTTCCAATCTGAAGTCATCAGTCTCCCATATAGGCCACCTTAGTTCAGCTTCCAAGAAAAATAGCCCTTTAGGACTAGATGGCCCTGTGCCTTCCCATCAGCTAGCTCACCGTAATTGAGTTGTTCTTGTCAGCACTCACTGCTTGCTGCTGGACCCTGGATTCTCTACAGTTTTATTAAACACCAACATTCTTTCTCATCCATGCCTTCAAAATCATCACTTGCTCTGGGCTGAAAACAATGTATCTGGATTTTTCTTTCCTATAATTAAACTTCAAAGTTACCATGCAAAGTAATAGGCTTCGTTATGACATTTTCATATACATAGGTCATTATACTTTGTTCTTTTTACCCCCATCTCCCACCCCCCCATCCTCCCTGCCTTTCTCTTGCTAGTCCCTCAATTCTTATTCTCTCAAATAGTTTTTCCGCTACTTTCCCTCCTACTTTCATGACCTGACAAATTTGCATCTCGATTTTGCAAATGAAAGAAAGTGTGATATTTGTCATTCTGAGTCTGGTTTATCTCTCTTAACACACTGACCTTCAGATCTATGCATTTTCCTTCAGTATCATCATTTATTTATTCTTTATTACTGAATAAAATTCTGTTGTGTACACTCCTTTCTTTTATCCATTCATCTTTTGATAGACACCCAAGGTGATAACATTTCTTAGTTATTGAAATAGAGCAACAATAAATATGTATGCACAAAGATGCAAAGTATCTTTGTGGTGTGTTACCTTAAAGTTCTTGAATGTATCATATGCCTAGGAATGGTATACTTGGGACATATTATAGTTCTATTTTGAGGTTTTTGAGGAACCTCAAACCAAATCCATGTTGATTTTCACAGTGACTGTGTTCATTTACATTTCTCCCAGCTGTGTAAAGGATTTCTTTTCCCCACAACCCCAGCAGCCTTTGTGTTCTTGAAGGTAACCATTCTGACTGATGTTGGCCAGACTCTGGCACACAGCCATTTTAAATTGCATTTCTCTGACAGTTAAGGATATTGAACATTGTCTCAAATGCTTATTGGCCATTTATATTTCTTTTATTGAGAACTGTCTATTTGTTTTATTAACTCAATTTATTGATTGGGTGATTTTGTGTGTGCTTAATTTTTCAGTTAAATTAATTTTAGGCGTTAATCCCCTGCCTAATGTATAAATGGCAAAGATTGTTTCACATTCTATAGGTCACCTATTCATACTGGTGATTGCACTATAATTTTTATGCTGCATTTTTGAGAATGGAATAGTTCTTATTTTGTCATTATTTGGAATATTTTAACTTGATTGCATCTGGACTTTTAATCTATTATTGAAAAGCTATAGAGTATTGTTAGTATATCTAGACTTGGAGAGATTGAAGAGGAAAGAAGGGATAATAGTTTAAAACCATACTTTTGAGCAAAGCAATGATAGCGTTTGCTGTTGGGCCATTTTCTGCTGGGAAATTGGAATGGTCCCCCCATGACACTAAGATTTTACAGTGTTCTTTCTGTTCTGCCATCCCTCCACACTGTTTAGCACAGTACAGAACAGTGTTATATTGCTTTGTAATATGCTAGCTGTTTTCCTATATTCCAAAGGAAACCAGTCTTAGGAGGTGTACTATGTATGAAGAAGGTGCTTCATAGTGATTGTCACCTCTTGCTCTTATATTGTTACCTGTTTAAGGTGTTAACTTCTTCTTTGCTTTATTAGAAATTTCTCTTTATGATGAGTCATCCCTTGCTATATGTGGAGGACAGAATAAATGCCCCCTCTAATCCTTAGAACCTGTGAACATGGGATCTGGGTCAAATAAAATAGAACTTTACTGAATATATATATGCATATATATGCATATATTTATATATTAATTTATTTTTTAATGTGCATTGCATGTGTGTCTGTGTGAAGATGCCAGATCTCCTGGAAATGGAGTTACAAACAGGTGTGAACTGCCATGTGGGTGCTGGGAATTGAACCTGGGTCCTTAGGAAGAACAGCCTGTGCTCTTAACCACTGAGCTCTCTCTCTAGCTCCTTTACTGATATCAAGTTAAGGGTTTTCAAGCTCCAGGGGCTCAATGTACAGGCTGCCAGAAATGTTGGACTAATGTGACTGCTGGCTTGAAGATGAAGTAGGACACAGCCAGGAAACTCAGACAAGCTCTAGAAGTAGAAAAAGGCAAGGAAATGGATTCTTTTTTTTTTCTGGGAACATCTCAAGCTTCATTTATTGCTAGGATTTGAGTTCTTCCAGTTAGAATTTTGTTGAGTTCCTTTTTCCTGTACTGTGTATATAGCATTTTTAAGAATGATTTTCAGAATGTGAACTTCCAGTTATCCTAATATATTATTTTGCCATGACTCCTCAAAATTTTAATGTCTGGAGCTTAACCCATTTTCTGGCCCCTTCTGAAATCCTCCAGACTTTGCAGTGTTCTGGTGAGGGTTCCATGGTG